GGGCACCATGCCCTGGTGGGGTAACCTCTGCTGTGAGTAGCGCGCGCCCCCCAGCGGCCGTTTGCCCCTCGGCCATGGCGGACACCGAATCCCCAGGGCCAAGGATCCCTTAGGACCGCCCGAGATGGGTGTGTGGGTTTTCCAGCCTCCTCCTTCCCGTCCCAGGTTTGGGATAGTCTCGCTGCTGGCCACAGCGCGCAGGGACAGGTCGGGAAGGGCCAGCGCCTGTGGCATCCCGGCCCAGGCTGCAGAGCCGCCCGCTTCCCGTGATCTTGCCCCAGGCCCCCAGGCCCCCCAGGCCCCCAAGCCCCAGAAAGGAAAGGCTTCGTTCTGGGTCCAGTGACACAGGTGCCAAAACGCTCTGCGCTGGCAGCCTACCTCCTCCAGGGAGATAAGAGGGAAACACTTTAATTCAGCCGCAGTCCCAGGGATGCCTCAGGGTGGGCCCCACTTCCCGCCACCAGAGGACACTGCCCAGAAGACTCTGCCTTGGGCCATTGGAATGGACGTGGCTGTGGCCGTGGTCTCTGCGGAAAGTGGGCGGCAGGGCAGGTCTAGGATGACCCAGACCTCAAAAAGTCACCAGGATTTAGCAAAGTTGCCCTCACTGGGGGGCCTGAGGGCCAGCAAAGTGTTGGACGCAGAACAGAATGCAACAGGCCTCAACACTTGAGCTGCCGCATGCGGAGAGGAGCCGGGTGATGAGACAGGGACTGAGGAGTAGTGTCTAGGCTTCTATGCGGACTCCAAGCCCAGTGGGTGGCCACAGGATTGCCTGTGTGTAGGGGTCCGGATCTCATCTCAACAGTTGCAGGTGCAGGTACAGGCACGTGCCAGGCTAGGTAGGTCAGAATATTCTCTAGGCCCTGGAGCCATTAGGAGTCGACAGCCTGGCGCTGTGATAGCAGCGGTATTTTAGGAAGCAGGTCACCCAGCATGGAGTGTGTGGAGGGCCCCAGCACAGAGGGTACTTGGAGGCCGAAATCAGGTGAAGCACAAAGCACAGAGGTGCCAGAAGATTGTTCTGACAATTGTAGCTCTTAGGATTACTTAGGTCAAAAGAGACTATAGACTAGTTGACCAGTTATGACTTAAAGTTTTTCTATATACGTTTTATTATATGTTCAACTCATACCTCACTCTATTTAAAGAGAATATCTGATTATTTCTAAGCTATACTGAACTATCAATAGCTTTTTAGTAACACCTACCTTAGATACCAATGGCAGTTGACCAGGTTGGAGTGCAGTGGTGCAATCTTGGCTCACTGCAACCTCCACCTCCCAGGTTCAAGAGATTGTCCTGCCTCAACCTCCCAAGTGGCTGAGACTACAGGCATGCACCACCATGCCTGGCTACGTTTTGTATTTTTAGTGGAGACAGGGTTTCACCATGTTGGCCAGGCTGGTCTTGAACTCCTGACCTCAAGTGAATCGCCTGCCTTGGCCTCCCAAAGTGCTGGGATTACAGGTGTGAGCCACCTTGCCCAGCCCCCTAGCTGTTTTGTTCTGCCTGCTGGCAGCTTGTTCACCAACCTTTATCTCCCTAGTTTTGACTATAAACATTCCAGCCCTTCCAACAGAAAGAAGTGTTTCAAATGGAAACATAGATTTGGGTGTGGAGGGAAAATAGTGAGGGGAAACAGTATGTGGGACACCAGCTTTCTCCTCCTGTGTTAGTAACATATCTCTGCATTTTCTGATTCCAGGGAGGTTGATGAATGTTTGTTTTTAATCACATGCTTGCTGGCACGATGTGTAATTTTTGTTTGTATTCCATATTAGTGAAATCATACTAGAATAGGGTATGTTATTGGAATTTTTCTTTTTTTCTCTAGTGTATTTCTTTTTTTTTTTTTTCTTTTTTTTTTTTTTGAGACGGAGTTTCGCTCTTGTTACCCAGGCTGGAGTGCAATGGCTCGATCTCCGCTCACCGCAACCTCCGCCTCCTGGGTTCAGGCAATTCTCCTGCCTCAGCCTCCTGAGTAGCTGGGATTACAGGCACGCGCCACCATGCCCAGCTAATTTTTTGTATTTTTAGTAGAGACGGGGTTTCACCATGTTGACCAGGGTGGTCTCGATCTCTTGACCTCGTGATCCGCCCGCCTCGGCCTCCCAAAGTGCTGGGATTACAGGCTTGAGCCACCGCGCCGGGCTTCTCTAGTATATTTCTAATGATTTTATCCAACTTTTTCAAAAGGAAAGTCACATTTCTTACATTGCATTAGAAGTGTTTGCAAAAAGTTCTTTTGTGATGGCTGGGTGGGTGGCTCACGCCTGTAATCCCAGCACTTTGAGAGATCGAGGCGGGCAGATCACTTGAAGTCAGGAGTTCAAAACCAGTTTGGCCATCATGGTGAAACCCTGTCTCTACTAAAAATACACAAAAATTAGCTGGGCATAGTGGTACGCGCCTATAATCCCAGCTACTCAGGAGGCTGAGGCAGGAGAATTGCTTGAACCCAGGAGGGAAAGGTTGTGGGGAGCCAAGATCATGCCCTTGCACTCCAGCCTGGGCAACAAGAGCAAAACTCCATCTCAAAAAAAAAAAAAAAAAAAAAAAAGAAGAAAGGAAAATTAGAGTCCAGGTGTGGTAGCTCACGCCTGTAATCCCAGCACTTTGGGAGGCCAAGGCAGGCAGATCACCTGAGGTCATGAGTTCGAGACCAGCCTCGCCAATGTAGTGAAACCCCATCTCTACTAAAAATACAAAAATTAGTCAGGCTGGCCGGGCTCGGTGGCTCACGCCTGTAATCCCAGCACTTTGGGAGGCCGAGGTGGGTGGATCACGAGGTCAAGAGATCGAGACTAGCCTGGTCAACATGGTGAAACCCCATCTCTACTAAAAATACAAAAAATTAGCTGGGCATGGTGGCGCGTGCCTGTAATCCCAGCTACTCAGGAGGCTGAGGCAGGAGAACTACTTGAACCCAGGAGGCGGAGGTTGCAGTGAGCTGAGATCGCGCCATTGCACTCCAGCCTGGGTAACAAGAGCGAAACTCCGTCTCAAAAAAAAAAAAAAAAAAAAAAAAAAAAAAAAAATTAGTCAGGCATGGTGGCACATGCCAGTAGTCCCAGCTACTCAGGAGGCTGAGACAGGAGATTTGCTTGAACCTAGGAGACAGAGATTGCAGTAAACTGAGATCATGCCATTGCATTCCAGCCTCATTGCATTCCATCTCAAAAAAAAAAAAAAAAAAGAGAGAAAGAAAGAAAAGAAAAGAGAAAGAAAATTAGAGGCTGAGTGCTGTGGCTCATGCCTATGATCCCAGCACTTTGGGAGGCTGAGGCAGGCAGATCGCGTGAGGTCAGGAGTTTGAGACCAGCGAAACGCCATCTCTACTAAAAATAAAAATATTAGCCAGGTGTGGTGGCATCTGCCAGTAGCCCCAGCTACTCAGGAGACTGAGGCAGAATCTCTTGAACCTGGGAGACAGAGGTTGCAGTGAGCCCAGGTTATGTCACTGCACTCCAGCCTGGGCAACAGAGTGAGACTCTGTCTTAAAAAAAAAAAAAAAAGAAAGAAAAGAAAAGAAAAGAAAATTAGAACATTCAGACAAGCAAAACTAAAATAAATGACATTCGCGTCCCCCAGAGATCACATACGTGAAGGGTGTGCGTGTGGGTGGGGCGGGGGGTTGTGTGAGAGAGAGAGAGAAAGGAGAGACGGTTGTTTTTAAGCCAGAATGAGGTTATTGTATATACCGTTTGGTGACCTGCTTTCTGCAGTCAAATCTCTACCCTTTTATTTCAGTTAAAATTCATCTCATCCAATCCCAAATCTCATATTCAGTTTTTCCCAGAAAGACCCAAAAATGTCCTTTGGCTGATCCAATTCGGGATCATGTCAGGCACCTCTGGTTGTTGTGTTCCTTAAATCTCTTAATTTAACACAGTGCTTTCCTCTCCACCTCTCCCCATTAAATCACATTGACTTGACTTTTCCCCTCAATGATTTTAAAATTACAAACCTGGAAAAACATAGTAAACACTTACGTACACTTGACCTAATTCACCATTTATGGAGAGCCACGTCATCCGCCCACCCCACCACCCCCCACCAAGCTATTTGAAAGTTACTTGTAGACAATCCTTTTTGTGCTTCTGCTTGATTTTCGTTTTTCCGTGATACTGACATTTCAGGCCAGGCTAGTTGTTTTGCAGAACGTCCTTCATTGTGGATTTGTCTGGTTGTGTCCTCATGATGAGATGCCGTTAAATCTTTTGGTCAGGAGTGCTACGTAGATGAATTCGTGTCCTTCCTTCTCACATCAGGAAGCGAAATGCAATCTGTCCCGTTATTGAGGATGTTAAATTTGATCACTTGGTTAAGGTGGTGCCTGCCAGATTTCTCCATTGTCAAGGTCGTTTTTGTGAAATTAAGTAATGTGTGTGTTGGTACTCTGAATGTATGTTTCCTGACAGACTTATACCCGATGGCTTTGGCAGTCTGTGATCCTTGACTAAATGAGTTTTTTTGAGACAGTCTTGCTCTGTCTCTATCTCAGCTCACTGCAACCTCCACCTCCTGGGTTCAAGTGATCTTCCACCTCAGCCTCCAGAGTAGCTGGGACTACAGGCGCGCGCCACCACGCCCAGCAATTTTTTTGTATTTTTAGTAGAGACGAGGTTTCACCATGTTGGCTAGGATGGTCTCGATCTCTTGACCTCATGATCCCCCTGCCTCGGCCTCCCAAAGTGCTGGGATTACAGGCGTGAGCCACTGCGCCCTGTTACCCCAGCACTTAGAACCGGCCTGAATAAATAAGTTATTAAAATGGTGCTTGTAAATTGTGATTTTCTAAATCTAAATTTCTAAAGATAACGACTTTGAGGATCAAAGTGGAAGTTATATCTATATTTATTGACTTTTTTTTCCCTAAACTAAGGAAGTGCTCCCTGCTCCCTATTTACATTTTTTAGTATCACTCACAATTTACGGGTTCTTTTTTTATTCAGTGTGCTGTAACTCATTAATGTCATTATTCTCTTTCTTTTTCATGTCAGATGAGTGATGTGCACAATCGTGGTAACAAGGCTAGAGGGTGGCACAGTCTCATACATGCTCGTGAACATCCAATTGTCACTCTCGTGAACTACAAAGGAGCCATTATTCTTTTTTATGCTTCAAAGTTTGGGCATTGGGAGCCCCTTCAAGCCAGCTCTTGTGTCCTTTTGACATACCTCTATCAGCTTTTGAGCATCTTCTTTCAGTCACAAGAAAATATTTTTCATACACCCTATGACCTAGCCTGGAATTTCTCCAAAGAGCTCTGGTCCCTTCTGGGGACCTGTTGAGTCTTAGTTACCACATAGAATGTCCCCTCTTTTGGATTTGTTTAGATACTTTTTTGTTCTTTAGCTTGTTTCCCAAACCCTATATTTCCTGTTAAGTGGGAAGTTGTATCTAAAACTTGATGGATTCTTGTTTAAAATATGGGTGTGATGTGGGATTCCATCTTACACTGCAACATAAGATACACTATCCGGTTGACTCACTCTTAGGGGTGCCATGGTTACTTATGTGGAACTAATTTTTTGATAGTTAAGTTTGTCAACTTTCCCTTTAACCAGGCAACAGTAAGAGCAGATGATTCTCTTTGAACCTGAATTTTTAAAGGTTATCGGAAAGAAGTAGACATTAATCTATTAAGATTTACAAATCTCTAGCTGGGCCTGGTGGCACATGCCTGTAGTCCCAGCTACTTGGGAGGTTGAGGCAGGAGAATCACTTGAACCCAGAAGGCGGAGTTTGCCGTGAGCCGACTGCACACCCCTGCACTCCAGCCTGGGTGACAAGAGCAAAACTCCATCTCAATATTAAAAAAAAAGATTTACACGTCTCCATAAGATCTCACTTTATCCTCGAATTGCCTGTCATTAAAGAAAGTATTAATTGGTCATGTTTTTAAAATATTTAATTTTCTTGAGCTAGGCACAGTGGCTCACACCTGTAATCTCATCACTTTAAGAAGCTGAGGCAGGAGGATTGCTGGACCCCAGCAGCTGGAGACCAGCCTGGACCCACATAGTGAGATCTCATCTCTACAGAAAATAAAAAATTAGCTGGACATGGTGGCATGTGCCTGTAGTCCCAGCTATCTGGGAGGTTGAGGTGGGAGGATTGCTTGAGCCTGGGAGGTTGAGGCTGCAGGGAACCGATACCACACCACTGCACTCCAGCATGGACAACAGTGGTGCCCTGTCTCAGAAAAACGATTTTCTTGAATTGTAATCATCTTTTCTCTTCTCCCCACCCCACTTTTTGTTAATAGTTGGACAGAGAGACTCTGAAGATGTGAGCGAAAGAGACTCTGATAAGGAGATGGCTGCTAAGTCAACAGTTGATCAAGATGTCACAGATGTCGGCCAGGAGGAGACCCCGGAAATCATCGAACAGATTCCTTCTTCAGAAAGCAATTTGGAAGAGCTAGCACAACCTGCAGAGTCCCAGGCTAATGATATTGGATTTAAGAAGGTGTTTAAGTTTGTCGGCTTTAAATTCACTGTGAAAAAGGATAAGACAGAGAAGCCTGACACTGTCCAGCTACTCACTGTGAAAAAAGATGAAGGGGAAGGAGCAGCAGGGGCTGGCGACCACCAGGACCCCAGCCCGGGGGCTGGAGAAGCAGCCTCCAAAGACAGCGAACTCAAACAATCCACAGAGAAACCCGAAGAGACCCTGAAGCACGAGCAAAGCCACGCAGAAATTTCTCCTCCAGCCGAAGCTGGCCAAGCCGTGGAGGAATGCAAAGAGGAAGGAGAAGAGAAACAAGAAAAAGAACCCAGCAAGTCTGCAGAGTCCCCAGCGAGTCCCGTGACGACTGAAACGGCATCAACCTTCAAAAAATTCTTCACTCAAGGTTGGGCCGGCTGGCGAAAAAAGACCAGTTTCAGGAAGCCGAAGGAGGAGGAACTGGAAGCTTCAGAGAAGAAAAAGGAACAAGAGCCAGAAAAAGACACAGAAGAAAACGGAAAGGCAGAGGCTCCCTCCGAGCAGGCCCAGCCACAGGAGGGGGCGGAAAGCGCCCCCGAGCCCCGGTTATCAGCCGAGTATGAGAAAGTTGAGCTGCCCCCGGAGGAGGAGGCCAGTGGCTCGCAGGGACCTTCTGAAGAGAAACCTGCCCCGCTGGCGACAGAAGTGTTTGATGAGAAAATAGAAGTCCACCAGGAAGAGGTTGTGGCCGATGTCCACGTGAGCACCGCGGAGGAGAGAACCGAGGAGCCGAAAACGGAGGTGGAAGAAACGGCAGGGTCGGTGCCTGCTGAAGAATTGGTTGAAATGAATGCAGAACCTCAGGAAGCCGAACCTGCCAAGGAGCTGGTGACACTCCAAGACACGCGTGTTTCCGGAGAGGACCCTGCGCAGGGAGCTGACCTCAGCCCTGATGAGAAGGCGCCGTCCAAGCCCCCCGAAGGCTTCGCGAGTGAGGTGGAGCTGCTGTCATCACAGGAGAGAATGAAGGTGCAGGGAAGTCCACTCAAGAAGCTTTTTACCAGCACTGGCTTAAAAAAGCTTTCCGGAAAGAAACAGAAAGGGAAGAGAGGAGGCGTAGACGAGGACTCAGGGGAGCACACTCAGGTTCCCGCCGATTCTCCGGACAGCCACGAGGAGCAGAAGGGCGAGAGCTCGGCCTCGTCCCCCGAGGAGCCCGAGGAGATCACGTGTCTGGAGAAGGGCTTAGCCGAGGTGCACCAGGACGGGGAAACCGAAGAAGGAGCTACTTCCGATGGAGAGAAAAAAAGAGAAGGTGTCACTCCCTGGGCATCAGTTCAAAAAGATGGTGACGCCCAAGAAGCGCGTTAGACGGCCTTCGGAAAGTGACAAAGAAGATGAGCTGGACAAGGTCAAGAGCGCTACGTTGTCTTCCACGGAGAGCGCGGCCTCTGAAATGCAAGAAGAAATGAAAGGGAGCGTGGACGAGCAAAAGCCAGAAGAACCGAAGCGCAAGGTGGATACCTCAGTATCTTGGGAAGCTTTAATTTGTGTGGGATCGTCCAAGAAAAGAGCAAGGAAAGGGTCCTCCTCTGATGAGGAAGGGGGGCCAAAAACAATGGGAGGAGACCACCAGAAAGCAGATGAGCCCGGAAAAGACAAAGAGACGGGGACAGACGGGACCCTCACGGGTTCCCAAGAACATGAGCCCGGGCAGGGCTGTTCATCCCCGGAGCAAGCTGGAAGCCCTACTGAAGGGGAGGGTGTTTCCACCTGGGAGTCATTTAAAAGGTTAGTCACGCCAAGAAAAAAATCCAAGTCCAAGCTGGAAGAGAAAAACGAAGACTCCGTAGCTGGGTCTGGTGTAGAACATGCCACTCCAGATGCTGAACCCGGGAAAGAAGAATCCTGGGTCTCGATCAAGAAGTTTATTCCTGGACGAAGGAAGAAAAGGCCAGATGGGAAGCAAGAACAAGTCCCTGCTGAAGACGCAGGACCAGCAGGCGCCAACGAAGATGACTCTGATGTCCCGGCCGTGGTCCCTCTGTCGGAGTACGACGCTGTAGAAAGGGAGAAAATGGAGGCACAGCAAGCCCAGAAAATTGCAGAGCAGCCCGAGCACCAGGCAGCCGCTGAAGTGTCCAAGGAGCTCAGTGACAGTCAGGGTCATATGGTGGCGGCAGCTGTCATTGACGGGACCAGGGCAGCTGCCATTAATGAAGAAAGGTCTCCTTCTTGGATATCTGCTTTAGTGACAGAGCCCCTTGAACAAGTAGAACCTGAAGCCACACCGTTAACTGGGGAGGTATTGGAAAGAGAAGTCATTGCAGAAGAAGAAACCCCCGAGGTTACCGAGCCTCTGCCAGAGAACAGAGAGGCCCAGGGTGACACGGTCGTCAGCGAGGTGGAATTGACCTCCAAAGCAGCTGACAGCGGCAAAAACTGCAGGGCCACTGGGTGCCGAAGAAGGAGCTGAAGCATCTGCTGCTGAAGAGACCACAGAAATGGTGTCTGCGGTCTCCCAGTTAACCGACTCCCCAGACACCACAGAGGAGGCCACCCCGGTGCAGGAGGTGGAAGGTGGCGTACCCGACATGGAAGAGCAAGAGAGACGGACTCAAGAGGTCCTCCAGGCGGTTGCAGAAAAAGTGAAAGAGGAATCCCAGCTGCCTGGCACCAGTGGGCCTGAAGACATGCTTCAGCCTGGGCAGAGAGCAGAGGCAGAAACATCTGAAGAGGAGGCTGAAGCACTGGATCTGAAGAAAGAGACGGATGTCGTTTTGAAAGTAGATGCTCAGGAGGTGAAAACTGAGGCTTTTACGCAAGGGAAGACGATGAGGCAGACCACCCCGGAAAGCTTTGAAAAAGCTCCTCCAGCCACAGAGAGCGGAGAGTCCAGTGAGCTTGCAACCACGTGTCACGCCGAAACCTTAGCTGGGGGAAAATCACAGGAGATGGTGGTGGAACAGCCTGTCCCTGCTGACTTGGCGGAAACCCCTACAGACAGTGAGACCGATGGAAGCACTCCCGTAGCAGACTTTGACACACTAGGCACAACTCAGAGAGACAAGATTGTGGAAATCCAAGAGGAGAATCAGGTCGCATCTGGTACCCGGTCAGGGGGCGCAGAAGCAGAGGCAGTTCCTGCACAGACAGAGGGGCCCCCAGCACCTTCCAGTTTTGTGCTCCAGGAAGAAACTAAAGAAAAATCAAAGATGGAAGACACGCTAGAGCATACAGATAAAGAGGGGTCAGTGGAAGCCGGACTTGTTCTGTCGAAGACGGAGGGGACCCAAGAGCCTGGCCAGTTTGCTGACAAGAAAACCAAAGATGAACCATTTGTCAAAGGACTAGACACAGGCATAGGAGTCAGTCAGGAAAAGGTCACTAAAGTTGCCCTTACAGAGGAAGTGACAGGAGAAGCTGAATGTCAAAAGGATGATGCTACTGAACTGCAGAGTCACACGAAGTCTGCTCTGTCCACCATGGAGAGAGAGATGGTAGTTCAAGTCGAAAGGGGGAAAATGGAAGCAGAGCCAACTCGTGTGAAAAAAGAGAAACTTGAGCACAAAACAGCTGTTACCATATCTGAAGAGGTCAGTAAGCAACTCGTCCAGACAGTGAGTGTGCCCATCATAGATGGAGCAAAGGAAGTCAGAAGTTTGGAAGGA